TTCACGGTGGAGGCCAGCAAGGATGTAACTAGAGTTTCAAAACATCAAAATTGTTAACGTATCCAAAATATGATTACTCCACAATTTAGTATCAAACCTTGCACCAGATAAAGCAAGCTTAGCATGAAGAATAGATATGGAAAAGGGAACCACTCCCTAACTCCTCTTTAACTCATCCAATGAATCCATTAAAGCAAATAACCAACACTCATCCACAAAGCAAACACCGATCTAGGACATGCTCTAACCATATTATATGAGGGAAGGGAAGGAACCTATATATACTACAACTGACATGCAAAGAGGACTAGACTTTTCAATTTCAAGAGTCTAAATTTTTTTTAAAAAACATGAGCATACGCTCCCAAACATTAGAAAATTCGAAGGACGAGCAAAAGATACTAGGAAAATGTGACAATAGACTATATGGGCTTGAAAGTGGAATTGATAGTGTATGATGGTGTTTAGGAAAATTCATAATACAAACAATGGGGTTGTAGAAGAGTTTTGGTAGATTATTGTGAGGTACTACGGGGGTTTGGAAAATAAACATTCATCAAATGTAAGACACAAGAAATTCCAATTGGGGACTTAGGGTTTGAGAAGAACAGAATTAGGGATTTGGAGAATTTGGGGAAGAATAGAGAGAAGAGAGATTAGGGATTTGAGAAGTTTTCTGAATATTATTGCTTAATTTCCTCCAACTAATCAGCTGTAGTCTTAAGTAGCAATAAACCGAAAATATCACAAATTACAAGTTTGCCACTCCTCCCTCCCCTCTTGGCCGAGTTCGGCCCTCTCCCTCTCTAACCCGTGGTCGGGTTTCCCACATCAAAATAGAGTTTTGGGAAGCTTAATCTCGAAAGAAACCCCCAAGGTTGTGTTTATTGAAAGGGTACATATGACTCCTCTGAGTCTATGTCACCAAAATTTAGGATAAGATCATCTAAAAGGAAGTAGCTAATAGTTCATTCCCTTAAACCTCTTTTCTCTTTGTCCAAGTTCACATCTCCAAGATCGCGATCCTCTTGCTGTATCCAATAAACACATGGACGAGGATGAATTCCCCTTCCACATCCCTCAAGCCACTAACCTCCGTCGCACTAGAGTGGTTGAGACTTCGGAAGAGCTTTCGCAAGGCATTGCAAAAATTGATGAGGAGCTGTCTATAGAGTCCAAGGAGGTGGAGGAGCATCACAACTTCATTGAACCTTGGGATAATCCACCTTCATTCTTAGCTTACGTTGGCATCTATCCTCTCCTCAACTTTTTCCAAAACAGAAAATAATGAAGACTATAAGTTGAAGTAAGATCAAGGTTGCTACTCATTCCAGAATTGACTGGCTAGACTTCTTCAGGTATCGAGGCTATTCTAGGTCCATGTTTACGAGACTTCACACTTTTGGACTCACCGAGATCTTCATGATCCGTGGGGACGACATTGAGCTCTTCATTAGAGAGTTCAAGGACTCATTTGCTCTCTGCCTAGCTTCAACCTCCAACGCCATCTGCATCTCTCACATATTGGGCGGCCAGAAGTTCTTATAGCACCTAAAATGTGTTTGAATGTCACAATTATCGTACTTAAGCCATTTTAGGTTGATTTTGAGATATTTATTATTAAATGTTGATATCCAAAGACTTGTCATGATATTTATCGATTTTTGGCCATTTGGGTCGTAACATGTTCATTCTCGACCTATTATAGGCTAGGTTGATCCTATCATGATAATGAAGGATTTTACCAAGTTTCATGTCGATCAAAAGTTGGTAAAAATAAGGTGGAAAGCAGACCTAGGGTCAGGTCACATCCAATGTCATAATCGTGACCCAAACTGTGGCCAATTTCACGGTCGTGAACGGGAGAAACAAAAAAGGTCATAAGGTATCATGGCTAGCCTCATGGTTACAAAGGGCCAGACCACGAAAAAGTTCACGACTGCGAGAAATGTTCACGATCGTGAACTCATGTAAATTCTGCCAATCAACCTGCTCATGGTTTGGCTCATAGTCGTGGCCCAAGTGTACGTGGGCACCAGGTCATGCTGCCCACGGGCTAGCACAGCACGACACGATTAGAGCACGTCACAAGCACGTGCACGTAATAAATGGGCCAGCCCGGCACGAGCACGAATAATTTATGGGTCGTGTCGGGCCTAAACTTCATGGGCACGGGCACGACACGGTAGATATGTGGGCCGTGTCGGGCCATATATTTTCGAGACTTTATTGAGTATAAGAACAAACATGACATGAAAATAATATTTATTTGATAAAAAATAAACATAAAAAGAATTATAGGTTGAAATATTACAAAACACAAGTAGAAAAATAATTATTTGTTGTTGTTAGAAGTGTCATAAAGATATATACGTAATTACTAACATAAGTAAAAATGGACAAAGAATTAAACAAAGCCAAATCACACTCGCTATACTTCCAATTTTCTTTTCCCCCTTATTTGTTACTTTTCTCAAACATTATCGGTTAACACTATCTTCCCCGACCGATTTTCACATTCTTTTTCATTCTCTCTTTTGTTTTCGTCCTTTTCATTAAATACGAATACGAGTATGGCACGAGCACGAATAGGCAAGGCATGATTCAAACGGTTCCCGGGCCTGGGCCGGCCTAGCAAAGTTAACAAATAGGCTTGCATGGCACGACACGAAAACTGATGTGCCGTGCTAAGCACGACATGAAATAAATGGGCCCGAAGAGTGCATGTGCCGTGCCGGCCCAAGCATGGCCCAACGCCCATGTATAGGCCCAAGTCATGAGAAGGTGCAGATTTAATAAGTTCATAGGTATTTGTATATTCATGACCATGAAATCCCCCGAAAAATCCCATGTGAACTTTGCTTTATGCACGAGTCGATAAGTTCTTGGAGCTATTTTGAAAGAGAAGAAAGTTTTTGAGCATTTTCAATACCAAATAGAGAGATATAAAGGATTGAGGATGGTTTCCACCCTTGGATTGGGGATTCTTGAAGAGCATTTGAAGATTGAAGAGCCTTCTCGTATGAATTCTCTTCTTCCCTTATTTATTTCTTCTTCCTTTCCATTCATGGGCTAAAACCCATTTGTACTTGGCACAAATCTCACATTCATATTTTGGGTTTTCTTTTAATGGGTTGGAGCTCCCCACCAAGGTTGTCGACCCACTGGTTGACCCCCAGGTTAACCTGGACAAAGTAAGGAAAAATGGTGTCACACGCCCACGAGTTGACCCGCAACAAGGTTCTTGGGTCGGAGGCACATAATGTCGTTTTGTCCTTTGGTGTGCGAATTGCACCTGTTTTTCCGATTTTTCCATTTGCCTAACTCTGCTTTTTGAATTCTAAGTTGAACATTTGAATTACTGATGTTACATGAGAGTGTTTGACGTTCCACTATATGTTGGATCCAAATATGAACATTTATTTTAGTGTATTGTTATATGTTATTACCCATATATTAGATGAGATGTTATCTAAATTATAAATGTATGAACCCTATAATAACTTTTTTCATTTATCTCAGCTAAATTGGACTTAAATGATTGGATCGTTAAATCCCAACCCACTTATTCAACAATCTAGCAAGCTAAACTGAGTTGATAACCTTCCTTCCCACAATCTAAAGGGTTGTTTGGTTTTGGTGATATTTAAATCAATGCATTATAATCAATGTATGCAATTGTAATATACATGCAAGAAAAATGATGTAATGAACATTACATTGTTTGGTTTTGGTGATAATTCTTTTAGTATTCAACATGTTATATTACTTTTTTGTAAGAAATATCACTTTTGCGCTTGCTTTTTTTAGAATTGCATACTTGGAACAAAAAAGGAATCCAACAATCTCCTCAAAGCTATCTCAACAATCTCAAGTTTTAGCAGAGATAGTACTATCACTCATTTTGAGTGATAGTTTCCATCACATCAAGCAAACAGTGCATGCATTGTTTGAGCAGAAAATTAAAAAAAAAAACAATACATTATGAACAATACATAAATTGTAACTATCCCAACCAAACTATCACCAAAACCAAACGTACTCTAAATTTCCAAATACTCATATTGTGTGGTTTGTGTTGGTATATATTACCACTCTTTTCAACTACTTCCGCTATGTCATTTCATTTCAACATGGTTGTCACGTCGGTGGCATGCCACCCGGTTGAACCTGGTTCAACCTGTGCCGGTCATGAAACCGGCATGACACCACCGGTATGATCGACTTACGCATTCTAAGTAAAATGACATCATTTTAATGAGTTTAATGAATTAAAAAATTAATTTATTGTTCATTTTATGAATGTAATAGTTAAAAGTTGATGATATTTATTGGATTGTAACTAAATTGTCCACAAATATGTTTTATATATGATTAAATACATGAGATATTAATTGTTTTCACATTTTTTTAAACCGGCATGAATCGGCACAAACTAGTTATACCACCGGTCGTACCATTCCATTTGCCAAACCGACACAACGGTATAAACCGGTTTGACAACTTTTATTTCAAGTATCAAAGAGCTAATTTCTTATGCCTCGTTTGCTTTAGGCTTGCTTTCCATTCCGATAAGGAATGTCTTGGACAACAAAGACAACGAGTCCAGAATCCCGGTTCCATTTCCGTCCGCTAGGAGGGGCGTCGTCTCCCACCTTGAAGCAGTTTCGCGATTCTTTCCATTGCCACTCTCTCGCTAAAATACCTCTCGGGAGACCACTGTCTGAACACGGCCAGATTTAACTCCGCCGCCGCAGCAGCAGCAGCAAGCAACGGTCATTTGGTAAGCTTGGCAGCAGCGTCTCTTAAATTAAAAGCCTTAGTACCGTCTACCGTGCTTGTGTAGCGGTTTGAACTTTGCCCTAGAATCCAGGAAATGTAACATTTTCATCCTCTGTTCTTCGTGGCAGTGAAGCTGTCCTTCAATGGGGGCCGCCAAAGAGAAAAGGCGATTGAGATGAAGCTGTCCCCAGCAGCAAATTCTTTGCAGCAAAAAAATGATGGGCGCCAAGCTATTTACCGCTGCAGTCACTGCAGTAGGAGCATTTAGAACTAGAAGTAGTAGGAGGAGGAGTTTTAGTAGCAGTACAAACACCGGAAGGAAACCTAGAATCGCTAGTCCCAAAAAGCTTACCACGCCTTCAATTTCAAACCCTAAAGATGTAGAAAAGGGAGATACTGTGGATGGAATTGAGTGGGCGGATGAACAGAACCAAGTGCTGGCTCAAGTTCGGTGTGGCTCTTCTGTCTTCATTACAGGGTCTGCAGGTTCTGGGAAGACCCTTTTGCTCCAACATATCATTGGTGTCCTGGAGCAAGTTCACGGCCCGCAGAAGGTGTTTGTCACGGCATCTACCGGGGTAGCTGCCTGTGCCATCCGCGGCCAGACCCTTCATTCTTTCGCTGCAATCGGATTTGGGAAAGCGGATCGCGATACTTTGGTGGATAGAGTTTTGCTGAACAAGAGTGCTACTAAGAGGTGGAAGAAGGTGAAGGCACTGGTCATAGATGAAGTAAGCATGGTGGACGCTGAGATGTTTGAGAATTTGGAATTTATAGCAAGACAGGTTAAGAGTTCTAACAAGGTGTGGGGTGGAATACAGCTAGTTGTGAGCGGGGACTTCTTTCAGCTGCCTCCAATCACTAGCCAATATGGCAAACAGTTTGCATTTGAAGCCGACTGTTGGGATGCAAGTTTTGACGCTCAAGTCGAGCTGAAAAAGATCTTTAGGCAGTCTGACCCTCGGCTCATCAAGTTGCTTGATGGAATGAGGAAAGGGAAGGGCGACTCCGAGGATCTAGAGGTCTTGAAACAATCTTGCCTGCTGAGTGAGCCGGATTCTTCGGTAGTGAGGCTTTATCCTAGGATCGAAGATGTGAAACGAGTGAACAACGAGCGAATGGAGAGCTTAGGGGAACAAGTTTTCATGTACAAGGCCATAGATGGTGGGATAGATGGTTTCAAGCGGGGAATTGTGGCAGACCAACTCGAGATCTGTCGTGGTGCGAGGGTGATGCTGATCAAGAATTTGGATACGAAGAGCCAGCTTTGCAATGGTGCTACAGGTACAGTTGCTGGCTTCTTCTTGGCAAAGCAGAACAGCAGCCTCGGGGAGTACCTGCCTTTGGTCAGATTCGACTCCGGAATACAGATGATCATTGAACCGGAAAGATGGGAGATTGTGGAAGGAGGGAAGGTCGTTGCTTGGAGAGAGCAGATACCATTGATTTTAGCATGGGCTTTGAGCGTACACAAGTGTCAGGGGATGACTCTTGACACCCTCCATACTGATCTCTCCAGAGCTTTTGGGTATGGAATGGTCTATGTGGCTCTTTCCAGGGTGAGGAGCTTGGAAGGGCTCTCTTTGTCGGGTTTCAATCCGTTTAAGATCAAAGCTCACCCCAAGGTTGTACACTTCTACGAGCAACTGGGCAGCCATAAGCTGTTAAAAGATGATGAAGCCGATGACAGAATGAAGGAAGTATGTGCTGACTGCTGAGCAATAGCAATTAGCAACGCGTGTTTCAGATTAGGACAACACGAAGAAGTTACCCTTGAGTTGGATTAGGTTGGAGACCAAATCGTTAAATCCTAAGCTGGTTGTAATGGGGCATGAGCATGACATAATCTTGTATCGAGTCGAAGTTGTATTCTTGTAAGGTTATGAAAAAGAATTTGACGATACTTGACAATTTTGACCAGATAAGTTTTATCCGATTTGTTTGACTTGTTTTGGGAGGGTCGGTAGGTGTGACGGGACGGGCATGGGTACTTTCCTTAACCTGACCTGTCTCGACCCGCTCCATTATTTAACCATGTAATTTTACTTAAATTATTTAAATTTTGCTTTTATTGCATCTTGTTTTAGCTATAATGAAGTCTACACATAATATAATACACCGAAGGGAAAAACGGGAGCCCCATTTCAAATTTCCTGCAACGAGAGTGAAAGTAGGAAGGACATTTTGGTCTTCACAATTACTTTTTTTTATTCATTAAAAAGATACATGCTGGGATTCGAACCATGACCATTTTAAAGAAAGACAAGGATCATAACCAATCACACTAAGCACATTTGTTGTATCCTTTTAAATTAAAAACATATAATAACAGGGTGAAAAAACTCTTCCCCCATTTCAAATTCCCTGCTCCATGAGCGTTTGTAGGAAGGATAGAATATGGAGTGTCGATTTTTTCTCTTTCCTCTCTGGAACGCGCCAACTTACCGTACACATGCGGATTTAAACGGGTCCAGGAGTGTCAATTTTTTTATTTATTCTCTTTTATTTCTCCATGGTGATAAAATATATATGAAAAGGCAAAAATAATACTCCTTTTATTGTTAAAAATAAAAAATTTACAAGAAACTAATGCATGGTATCTAATGGGCTAACCACTAACCATAAAATAAAAGAGTTGAATGGGCCTAACCTACATGGGATTTGGCCATCAAGTAAACAAATGAACATCATTGATTTGCCATTCTAAAACAAGCTATTTTCTCTGGCATAATATATATTATGCTATTATTTTATATCTTAGTGGCTAAAATATATTGTATTTTAAAGTTATTCATTGGTTCAACCTCGACCAACCCAATTAGTCCAACTTTTATCATTTCAAATATATATTTTATAATTATTTGACATCATAATGATCAAATTATAGTGTATTTTATAGGGAATCGTTTGGTATTTGTTAGTAAAAAACTAAACATAAAGATATATTTGGTTATTTTAAACATTAAAACGATCCTAAACATTTTCAGTTCCTTTTGAATTTCTATGGTTTTATTCCCGAATAAGTGATGTGCAAATGACGAATTGTAGTCGTCTCTTTTCTTTCACTATTTTTTATTTTCAAATAGAAAGTTTAAAAGTAAAGAATAATTAGAATTTGGCATGGGTCGGTCAAACAGACTAAATTTCAAGTTTTGGCCCGTTTGTTTTATGCATTGCAAATTTATTAGTATGTTGATGGAAATGGATTGGAAAAAAGACATATAAGTTGTACCTTTGCAGAAATGTCCTCAAATGTTTGAATGCTTTGTGAATCAGGTTCCGTGACTTTTGTGATGGTGTATGTGCTTGACGATTGCTCGATGTTGTAACTACTTAATTTGAGAGTAAATATTTTGATTTTCCCTATGAGTTGTGATACCAGTTCTGGTGGTTGCAGCATGTTGTCGTTGTTGGCCTGTAAAAGTTGTTCCGTCGTGATGCTAAATACCTTTCTTTCTTTTTTAACAAATTGTGTAGTAGTGCTATGAAACAGACCACCCATGAACGCTACGCTTATTATGGTCCGTTCTTACTTCCGGTGGTGAGAAATTGTGAATTGAGAATCATATTCGCCTACCGCACTGTGTCTGGCTGGTGGCTGCTTACTGTGCTCTCTAGAGTTATGAAACAGACTACCCATGAACGTAACCCTTAAGAGTCCATAACTTTGCCAAAAACCAATTTAGGCAATCAAAGATGGTGGATGTGTGATGATTTTTTATGGCTTAATTGTTTGTGGATTGGATATCTGATCTTTGTATGATTAGAGGGGATGTTTGCTTAATAGAATAATCCATTTTAATTCATGTTTATTTTTAACATGAACTTTAGTAACTCAAAACCTTCAAGACACATATCACCTACTGCATTGTATCATTTTGCCTGGGTGCTTGCTGTGTTGTCAAACTTCTTTGTTGCTGCTGCTGCTGCATTTACACTAACAGGGGAGTTAAGAACCCATGAATGTTTCCGTTTGACACAAACAAGAGGACTTACTTCTAAATCGTGCACTAAAGATGATTGGAGGAAACATCTCTATTGCAGTTGATATATTGGAGACCATAACAAAAGCAACGTATAACATCAAAACCAACCATCTGAACTATTAGCATTGTTGCTTTACTCTTTTTTCGTGGTTGAGTATCCTTCAAAAAATTTAGTTTGATTTTAGAAAATTTTGCTTCTGCAGTCCAGTTTTGCCACCAACGCGTTCAGTAGATGGAGATGGCAGAGGCGAAGACTATTTTTGTGTTGTTGTTGTTGTTGGTTTAGGGATCGGTTTGTGAAGAAGAGGGAGAAGAGAGGAGGAAAGGGAAATGCAGGAGAGGGGGATAACTCTTTTCTCCGACAAAAATGGAGTGGAGAAAGGAATTATGATCAGCAAGGATATGGTTATCTTACATAACGGTCTCTATTCTGTTTGAATTGAGCTTGGGAGGCAGTGATAAGGACGAGCTGCAACCAATTCATAGTGATAAGACTGCTATGAACTGTGATCATGTCTTATTTCAAGTTAGAAGGTAGTTTCAGTATAAGGATTATTTAATTTGACAAGTTGTTTCGTCCATGATTCTTGGTAGTTTCAGTGCCATTCTAGCCATTGTTTAGTCTATAATTTTTGAGAATTGATATGCGAGTAATGACTTTCACTTAGCTTCAACTATTATGTGTGTATTTATTGGCATGTGATAGAATTCTCTTTTCCTTTTCTTTGAATCCAGTTTCACACTCTAATTGTATCATTCGTACATAGGCAAATCATGCTCGAGATGACAACTCGCTGATATGGCTGGTGCAAGGAATGAAGCCATCTTTAGAATTCAGACCGACAACGGGGAGGGATGCCCATGACTAATTCAATGATGATTGATGATGGTATAATAAAAACTGCAGTCTGCATCAACACCAATTTCTAGGCCTAAGTAAAGTTATTCAACCTAGAACTCTGCTTAGCGCTAAATATTGCCCTCACCCAACCTTGATCCTGTTTGACCCACTTCTGAAGAGTCAAGATATATGACTAATCATCTTCGTTCGTATTTTCTTATTGACTCTTTCTGACTCTTTAGGTTGGGGCGGGTGGGGAAGAATCGGATTATTGGGTCGGTCCTAATCAAGTGGAATCCCAATCCCTTCACTCTCACTTGCTTTCTCTCCCATTCCACAAGTGGGTAAAACATACAGTAATCCGACCAACGGGTCGGGTAATAAGCTAGTTGTAAATAGGTGAGAACCTCAATTTTATGATAACTAGAATCAATACCCACGGCTACGCCGCGGGAGATGTAGTCGTGTTTGGTATAAGTAAAAACAATATAGGTATAACGAAATTGTTAGAAATTATATACAGAAAATAGTATTATATGTTTTGCTAAAAAAACTAAAAAATTTAAAAGCTTCTTCTTGCTTTGCAACTTCATGTTTCAAGTATATGCCAATTCTGCCAAGAATTTCTTCTCCTTCACTTCTTTCTTTGTTTTGTTCTTCTGGTCTGGACTTCATTTCAGAAGTATCTTTTTGGACTCTTCTAATGCAAATACAATCCCAAATTCAATTCTCAAAATCAGCAGTTTTTTTGGCAAAAAAAAAAACTAAGAGAACATGAAGCAAGCGCCTCGATATAGCCTATAGGAAGAGTCTACTAAGCATCTCCAAGTATAAATTAACTCAAATGTTACTTGAAGTTTGGCATGGGAAACCTGCCTAGAACCCATTCAAACAGAATACCTACAAATTGCAGAATTAAATCCAGAATTGACAGCATAAGAATTTAAACCCTTTCCTCTAGAATGATAAAGAAAGCAAAGTTGCAACATCAATATTGGTAATGGCACTTTCTGATTCTGCAGCAACTTGAAGTGGCCTGAAGCTTCACTTCAGCTAATATAAATTCCAGACCAACATCGTGCATAATAATGCAAAGGACAATTGTGACAAATTTATGGAAGCACACTGGAGAATAAAATAAGCAAATGAACAAAGCATACCAGCAAGTGTTGTTGGTACTGCTACTCATGTATGTTGTTGCTGCGTACTGCTGCTACTTCTGGAAACAAATACATGCACTGAAGTTATATAAGGCAAGAAGCACAAAGCACAACCCATAAAAAAGCAGTGAGCAGCATCAGGAAACCAAAAGGGAAGCCCAATGATGAAGGATGACAATTAAGAGGAATTGAAGTTACCTCGTTGAATATAAGACTAAGCCTCTTCACCAACTCCTTAACCATGTTCCTCTCTCATCAAAGTGAGTAAAACAGAAATCACAGATGAGTAAGCCACCTTTGTCAATCGACATTTTGAATCCACCATTTTCCCCAAAAAAAAAAACTCTATAGCTTGGCTGCATTTTGACATCTTGCAACACCCACTTACGAAGACATTATAAGTAACAGAATTAGGCAATAATTTTCTTTTCCCCATGGATCGAAACAATGCAACAGCCTTGTCATGTTCCCCAACATTCATATATGCAGGGCAGTCCAGAGGAAACTCAATAGTACAACCTGGATTACAAAGAGGGAAAAGAATGCAGGTTAGAAACTAAAGCATAAATATGGCATCGAGATTTCAGCAGTTACAAATTGGTTTACTCTGCATTCCCAAGGTCAACATCAGCGAAAGGCAGGATAACCCCAAAAGTAAACTGGATCAAACCAAAATGGGAACCGTAATATATGAAATACATGCTCGCGTTGATCCTATATCCCTCTATATCTCAATTGAGTTTCTTTGGAGCTGCGATTTAAAGTGATGAACAAAAGCCAGTTTTATGTGATTATAGAAGTTGCTTCGAACATAGCTGTAGTGTAAATGAAAAGGTTAGGAAGGATGATTGACAACAGTTGATTGTGAGATACATATGGACATAGAAAGTTCACCTTTTGTGAGTAATTCCAGGTCCAAGTTCAAGCATTATACACCACCATGGGAACTGTCAACAGAGAATAAGGACTTATTTCAACCATGAACACTAAACATGGTACCTTCAGTAAACAAAAGAGACATCATGAAGACAAACTTCACAACAAAGATGATGATTAAATAGAAATCCAGCATAAATATACAGCTCTAGTGGCACATATGAATGGGAAAAGCGAGAGGTAAAAGGTCAAAACAATTCTTGTATGTACCAAAGGGCCATTCCTACCAAACCTGCATTTTTTTTTTTGCAAATCCAGCATAAACTATCCCCTGATGTAGCGTGGCAACAAAGAAGCCAACTGATATCATCCCATCAGATAAAAACATCAGATATACAACTCTACACATTAAAAATCCAAACTTCACAGCTGTATAGATCTTAAGAAAAATAAGAACTACAACATACGGCCAACAGTGGCAAGCCTTCTGAGGTTGGACTGTTCAAAGGCTGGGAAAACTCAGAATTTCCTAGGCTATAGAAATCTGAAATTGTCAAAGCAACTGTGGAGTAAAGAATAAAAGGACACAGAATGCTAAAACCCCTAAATCAGAATCGGAGGAAAGAGGCGGCTCTCCTCTTGGCCATTGTTCTTCTGCATTTCTTGCTTTCATCCAGCGAGTCAATCTCGTCGACTCTTTCAGCCTACCGATTTCGGTATGGAAGAATCGAATGTCGCCATTAAAGCCAGAGCTTCTCCTTTCGAAAGCAACTTTCCCAATCAAATATCGGCAACGCGTCACCGGCATCGTCCTCCTTCTTCCCTACCACTGCCGCCTTTCTCCAAAACCCTCCTCCGACGCAGGCTCTTCCGTCGCCACCAACCATTCATGGTGGTTGCGGAGTGAGATCATTCTGGTCCCTCGTTTCCCAGCTACGCGGACGACGGAGCCCCCTCTTGGCCAACAAATTTTTTTTAAATGATGAGAGAGATTTCTTCTTCCCTCTTCTTCTTCTTCGTCGACTGAGCGAGAGAGGTAGAAAGAGATTTTTTCTTACCTATTCTTGTTCATTGTGGTGAAGAAATACTTTTTCCTCGAAAGCACAGTGGAGTAGTTGCTGCGGCATGGCTGGGGACGTGTGAGCAGCTGTGCAGAGGAGGCATGGGCGATGGCGTGCGCAGTGGAAGCACGTCTCCTTGGGTCAAGGTCGCGCAATGGCGTGCACAGTTATCGGTGAGGAGCTGTGTACGGGAAATTCGGAGCTCCTCTAACCATTTACAGGGGAAGTCTTAGACCGCGCTTGGCACTAAACGCCAAAAAATGAAACAGTAGTAGCAAAGTTAGGCCAATAAAGCGTACCCACCTTTCATATATAAAAGAATTTTAACCACATTTATAATATTTTAGTTATTTTCTTGGATTTTTAATAAAAGAATGAGTATTTCTAACGTTTTCATTTCAAACTACATACTCATATGGGTCGACCTGTCTCGATCCGCGGCCTGAACCCAATCTATCACGGGGTGGATATAAATATTAAGATATCCGCCCTGGACCTGCCTCATTACTATTCCTAATTGTGATTTTGTTTATGAAAAAATATATTTAATTAATTATGATATAAATTAAACTTGTATATTTCTCGTTGAGAATGAAATGTGTACGGAGCAATAGCAACGTATGTTTCAGATTAGGGCAACACAAACAAGTTAACCTTGAGTTGGATTAGTTTGGAGATAAACAAAAAACTGTAAATCCTAAGCTGGTTCTAATGGGGCTTGATTAAGTTGTTTAGAGACCACAATCTTGTCTGGAGTCGAAGCGGTATTCTTTTAAGGTGATGAAGAAGAATTTAACATCGGTAGTATACTTGATTTTGTTTATAAAAAAAATATAATTATAGTATAAACTGTACTGTACATTTAATATTATGAAAAAATTCATCTTATACTTTTACTTTTTAGTTAAATTTTTATGTAACTATATAGTTTTGTACAAATTCCTATATGGTACAAACTAAACGTGTACTTTTAATGTTATGGTAAATATTCAATTTGTAAATATACATTTTCATAAGATATAAACTAAACTTGTGACACAGATTTGACTTGTATCTTGAAGCACCAATGTTTCTGATCATTGTAGTTGAGCCACTTTCAAGAAATTAGGGTACGTCTACAAAGTAGTGAAAATCACAGTTTTAATATAAAAAAAATTAATCTACTAAAGGGTTTTGAGTTTGATTGTACTTTTAAATCTCTGGGGGTTGGAATTTTGATTAAAAATTTTAACGATTTCATACGGATTTTATATCTGGATCCGAAATGCTCCAAACTCTTTTGTAGGGGGAGAAGACAGGTGAATTTGAGAACTGAAATGCCGCTCCTTTCATATTCAAGATTTGAACTCATCGAGATCTTGGTATCCAAATATGCATTCAGAAGGCAATTTGTACCACACCAAGGAAATGCCACAAATTCCTGTAGTAATTAAGTTGTTCTTTCATATATGATGCGCAATGCATTGCCTTATAGGACACTTTTTCTCTTGTGATCAGACGGAACAGAAGGTCAAAGTGGCAAATTAAGAGTACAAATCCACGCCCATGTCAATGCATACATAACAACACATTACTCTGGGCTGAGATGATGGCGAAACTATATTGGAGACTGGTGCCCCGATTTATTCATCACAAAAGCATTCTTTCATGCTATTATTCATTCCCCTGTTTTACCTTTTCCGTATGAATGATAAGTGTGCGTGAGTGAACTACACCCTAGACCCAGCCAGTCGTCGCCTTGATGCATTAGAAACAGACACTTGCCCTAGCCTGTCTGTTTCTGGTGACAAAATTCGCTCATTCACCGGAGCATAGCGCCGCAGCCATTCCCCAACATAGACCTGCATGAGAAAGGAATAATACATTCTTTAGCTGATCATCTCCAGCAACGATCACAATAGGCTGTAACGACATGTGGCTCTCGAGAACTAGCCTGTTGTGGTCTCATTATCTTTGTGTCTGGATCATCCAGAGACTCGCGCCAGTGTGCTAAGTAACCAGCCATCCGAGGGATTGCAAATAGAACAGGAAAGAACTCAGTTGGGAATCCCATAGCCCTGTGAGAAGAAAATTTTATCAGCTATCAGCTGTTTGACGATTCATAAGGAAATACAAGCACGTTTAACCTATAAGAAGGGAAGAAGATTCTATTTTTATCAGCACCTGTATATCAACCCCGAGTAGAAATCAACATTGGGATACAGCTTTCTCTTTACAAAATACTCATCAGAGAGTGCCGCCTTCTCCAAAGCCACTGCCACCTATAGACAGCCAACAGTTTGTATGCATCAAAACCCTATCAGATTTTGCACATCACTACAGACTTGGAGAGCAAGGTCTACGAATATGACGAAGAGAGCATTCAGTAATGGCTTTTATTCTAGGAGCGTCAAAAGTGTACATCGTATGTAACCGTAAAATAATGCCATTAATCAGCACAAATGATGAGTACTAGCAAAAAGACCAGTAGTTTGTTTAGGCCTTTTCCCTCGGACTTGTGAAGTGCAAATAGAAAGTAGAGATTACCTCAATGAGAGGATCACGCCCAACAATGGAAAACACTTCGTCTGCTAGTGTCTTAATCACCTTGGCTCTTGGATCATAGTTTTTGTAGACACGATGCCCAAAACCTGACATCTTACGCTTCCTGCAGACTTGACAGGGCACCGGAACATTAAGAAAGGGCATCCACGGTATTTAGAAATTTAGCAGCACATGGAACAAAAGAAAGAATCACCTGTTTTTCACACCCTCAATGAAATCTGGGATATTTTCAACTTTACCAATCTCACTTAGCATCTTTAGCACGGCCTGTCATTAATGCAGATAATTAAGCCTTAAACCAGCAGCTTAAATTACAAGAAGGATACCAAAAGTGGAGCTAAAAGGAAGCTCAACCAAGAAAGTGCAAAAAGGTAAAAGAGAACACTCCTACATGTGGTGGGAGTTGAGAATAAGTCAGCTCACCTCATTTGCCCCACCATGCAAAGGACCATATAAAGCTCCAACAGCTCCAGCAAGCGCAGTGTACACATCAACACCACTGGCAGCAATCGTAAAATGTGAGAGCAAAGACCAAAGGCACCTTATTTCAGTTTCGTGTCAGGAACTATACCTTGAGGCTAGATGCCGGGCAGCAGAGGTTGAGCAATTCATTTCATGTTCTGCATGCAGAATGAAAAGTATATCCAGCACTCGAGCCAATCGAGGATTAGGTTTATAAGCCCTATTGCCTCTGGCAATTTTTCAAAAGAGAGATTTGATGGTTAAAATCAACAAAACTAGTTAAAATAAAAATATTGGAAATCAATAGCAAAGAAACCAAAGATAAACGTTTTTCCTGGTGTCATACAATGAGTCAAGCATATAGAGGAAGTTCTCAGCATAAGACAGGTTGCTGGAAGGGAGAACAGGAGGCCTGCCTGCCAACCGAAGATATGCTGCTGCTGCAATTGTTGGCACCTGCAGAGCAACTCATGAAGAGGTTACATATTAGAGGCATAACACGCAGAGCACACCAACACCACATCAGATGAACCACTACTACATATGACAATTGCACACAAATTGACTGTAAATGCACATTAGGGGGGGGGAAGCAGAGAAATATTTAGGACCAGGCAAGGAGACCAAACCTTCCCGAGAACGCGTGCAATTTGTTTGTCTCTCACTTGCTTCGACTTGTAAAGGTCTTGCCCCTGACCAAAGTGTAATATTTGCCTGTTATATAGCAATCATAAATGCTGGAAGTCCTCAACTACACACTGAGCAACATGGCAACAGCCACCACCAAAACTTATATGAACTGATCCACAAAACAATTATAATATTTCCATACTTACCCTAAGAGCTGGATTAGCATCAGGATGGAAAATCGAAAGAGCACTGATAGCGCTGACAAGGACACCCATAGGATGTGCATCATGAGGCATTGCCTGTATAATATCCTGCAAAACAAGTATAAGAGAACATTTTATTCCTCAGGAAAATTCAGGCTATATAAACTCTAAAGAAGTGCCATTTCAGAGATTTCAGGTAAAATGGATGAGAAGGAGCTTCTTGTGCCATGAATCTCTGGTTTATGTATAGAAAAAACTACTGACCCCACCCCACGCTTGAGAAACAAAAACTGTCAGATAAATTTGATAAATATCCACGTGACAAGAAGTTTTAGCATTTTTAGTTTTTCCTTCTGCTATGGGTAATTAAAACGCGCATAATGCAACAAGCATGTCACATTTATAAGGCATCAAGCCACAAAATTGAAAATCTAGAGAACATTTTATTCTGCAAATCTAGGTCACATTTACCTAATATCCTGCAAAACAAGTATAAGAGAACATTTTATTCTTCAGGAAAATTCAGGCTATATAAACTCTAAAGAAGTGCCATTTCAGAGATTTCAGGTAAAATGGATGAGAAGGAGCTTCTTGTGCCATGAATCTCTGGTTTATGTATAGAAAAAACTACTGACCCCACCCCACGCTTGAGAAACAAAAACTGTCAGATAAATTTGATAAATATCCACGTGACAAGAAGTTTTAGCATTTTTAGTTTTTCCTTCTGCTGTGGGTAATTAAAACGCGCATAATGCAACAAGCAGGTCACATTTATAAGGCATCAAGCCACAAAATTGAAAATCTAGAGAACATTTTATTCTGCAAATCTAGGTCACATTTACCTAATATCCTGCAAAACAAGTATAAGAGAACATTTTATTCTTCAGGAAAATTCAGGCTATATAAACTCTAAAGAAGTGCCATTTCAGAGATTTCAGGTAAAATGGATGAGAAGGAGCTTCTTGTGCCATGAATCTCTGGTTTATGTATAGAAAAAACTACTGACCCCACCCCACGCTTGAGAAACAAAAACTGTCAGATAAATTTGATAAATATCCACGTGACAAGAAGTTTTAGCATTTTTAGTTTTTCCTTCTGCTGTGGGTAATTAAAACGCGCATAATGCAACAAGCAGGTCACATTTATAAGGCATCAAGCCACAAAATTGAAAATCTAGAGAACATTTTATTCTGCAAATCTAGGTCACATTTACCTAATATCCTGCAAAACAAGTATAAGAGAACATTTTATTCTTCAGGAAAATTCAGGCTATATAAACTCTAAAGAAGTGCCATTTCAGAGATTTCAGGTAAAATGGATGAGAAGGAGCTTCTTGTGCCATGAATCTCTGGTTTATGTATAGAAAAAACTACTGACCCCACCCCACGCTTGAGAAACAAAAACTGTCAGATAAATTTGATAAATATCCACGTGACAAGAAGTTTTAGCATTTTTAGTTTTTCCTTCTGCTATGGGTAATTAAAACGCGCATAATGCAACAAGCAGGTCACATTTATAAGGCATCAAGCCACAAAATTGAAAATCTAGAGAACATTTTATTCTGCAAATCTAGGTCACATTTACCTAATATCCTGCAAAACAAGTATAAGAGAACATTTTATTCTTCAGGAAAATTCAGGCTATATAAACTCTAAAGAAGTGCCATTTCAGAGATTTCAGGTAAAATGGATGAGAAGGAGCTTCTTGTGCCATGAATCTCTGGTTTATGTATAGAAAAAACTACTGACCCCACCCCACGCTTGAGAAACAAAAACTGTCAGATAAATTTGATAAATATCCACGTGACAAGAAGTTTTAGCATTTGTAGTTTTTCCTTCTGCTGTGGGTAATTAAAACGCGCATAATGCAACAAGCAGGTCACATTTATAAAGCATCAAGCCACAAAATTGAAAATCTAGAACACCATCTAGATATCATGAGTTAGAGTTCCATTCTCCTAAATTACCCGACACTCAAGAGCACACTGCAAACTATATTACAGTAATATCATTGTCCACCTCCATGTCCCTGGGATAGACGTGAGTTTATGTCTGTGTCTGGGTGTGTGTACAACACAAAGAAATAGACTCACCAAAATACCCTGTGGCACAGCTGAATGTTGCGAAATGGCAAATTCCCAGTCTGCCAATTGATTTTCAGATGGCAGGTTCCCGTACACTGCAAAGACAGGTCGACTTTAATAGCATTAACAACACCAACAAAAATCATATAGGTGATCCTTGCTCGAGCTTCCACCTTGAGGTGATTATATGTTTTTATACAATATTTGCACAGAGCTATAAAACAGTTTGGCTAAATGTAATATACACACTTTAAACAGCAAAATTTCCCCACATCATAGGAGAAAAAAATAGACACATAAGTTGAATTGGAGATTGAATAACAAAAACTGTTAACATGGCGTAAGTTATGAATACGTAGATAATCCGAGATATAAGGAGCTGAAATGCTCCACATTTGGAAAGGAGCACAGCACAAATCAAGGTATTAGCGGCATGGTGCTAGATTGACAAAGATCACCCAAGTGAGTGAGGGAAGAGTGATCTGCAGACATCTCAAGAAAGAGAAACAAGAAGAACTCAAAGGAAAAACTACAGCCGAGAAAATAAAGATATTTGCTTAGAGAAGGCAAACTTGGTATCAAGAAATACTCAACTGATGAGGTAAGCCACTTCCACAAATGTGCTTTTTTCAGCCAACTCCTCGATTGGGTAGCCTCTGTATCTAAGAATACCTTCATCGCCATCAATATAAGAAATAGCAGACCGCACAGGAGCAGTGTTTAGGTAGCCTGGATCATACAGCTTGATTCCCTTGTCATTCTTTCCCGCTGATATCTGAAAGAGATTTGTTAGGCAAGGATCAGGAATTAGTGGTGTGGTGAGGATCATTCATCCCAATAGATCAGAAAGATTCAACGAACATGGAACCTAATCAATGAATGAATTTTTCAAGTTTCCAAACCGTAAAATTGGTGGTGAAAGGGACAGTGAAGAGAAAAACACCTTCTTGAGATCGGAGGCGTTGATGGTGCCATGCTCGGACACGGAGGTTTTATACGCCTTCCCGGTCCTCTCGTCGACGATGCTGAGGGTGCCCTTAAGGTGGGTGGGGAGGTCGGAGTTAGACAAGACGCAGAAGCGCTCGACGGCGGCGAAATGGGAAGGCGGGTCGACGGCCGGTGGAGCCAAATGAGCTGTGAGCACCGCCAGGCGGCCGCGGGCGGTGGGCGCCGGGGAGGAGGTTGATCGGGAGGTGTCCAATTTGCCCATGGCGGGTAAGCTTTTGCTCTTTTCTCACAACGATCTGGAACTGGAAATGGGAATTCAAAAGGGAAACGTCTCTCTCTGTCCCTATCTAATGCCTTGCCTTCCCCGAGTTATATATTTGTTTACGGTTGCTTGCGCTACCCTTCTCACGTGTTGGATGTATGGTTTGCTTTTAGGGTCAAACCCAAGGTTGTCTTTTTAGATAGACCAAACCTTGTTTCAAACGCAAACCACTACCCCTGGATAGGGATGGCAATGGGTCGGGTTTGGTCGGGTTTTGCCAAACCCAAACCCAAATCCATGGGTTTATCTTTGAAAAAAACCCGGGGTAAAACCCACCGGGTTTGAAAAACTCAAACCCAACCCAACCCATTGGGTATCCGCGGGTTCATGGGTACCCACGGGTTTTGTCGTAAAAAATTTACAATTACAAGTTCTTATCAAAATTAAAGTCAAATATCAATCTCTCAATACAAATTATCCATATATAAAACACCATTCTAGAAAATTCAAGCAAATCACAAATTAACTATACAAATTGTTCAACACCAAGCTAAAAAACTCAAGAAAATTGAAGCAAATCACAAATTATCCATAAATAACATGTTTAATTGAAAGCTTCTTTCTTTCAATTAAGTTTCTTTAGTCTCCACTCCATAACATCAACTTCATTGTACACAATTAAAAAGAAAAAATTAAACATGTCTCCACAAAAATAAATAAGAATAGTTGTTTAGAATATTAAATATACCGAAAAAATTAATTATATGAGTGGGCGGGTACCCACGGGCCGAGTTTACCTAAACCCAAACCCAACCCAACCCGGTGAATAGTGAACGGGTTTAAACCCAAACCCAGCCCAAAACCCGTCAACACGGATTTTACCCGCGTTGACCGGGTTGGGTCGGATGGGTACCCGTGGGTTCGGGTTTTGTTGCCATCCCTACCCCTGCAGCCAAACCTCCCATTCGGTCCGGGTTTTCGAAAATTATAATTAAGCAGTCACACTTATATACACTCCCCCCTACTCATAATTGGACTGCTAATTATGTGACCCAAAAAATATCATTTTTCTATCTAATATGAAGTTGTCCTCGTTTGATTTTGTTATTTGGATAAAATGGAATTAATATTATAAATAATTTTTCTCTTTTTTTTTTTCCTGCTGAATCAGTATTTTATTATTGCAAAAAAGGAACCAATGCAACGAGCTGCATGGGTCTGCATTTTCCTTATTCCTCTTTCACATTACTTGAGCAAAAAATAATTAAAAGAATTGGTCTCTTATAAATTTTTCTCTTTTCAAGGAAAAGAGTGGCACTTCCAAAGCTTTCAATTATAAAGTATAGAAAAACATATCAACTTATCTCTGAAAACAAAATTTTCTTTCTACACATCAAATAATCTGAGGAGAAAATCCTAACAGTAAGGAGATTTTTTTTTCGAGAATCACACGATAATGAGATTTTTTTTAGTTTTCCTCTACATTGTAACGTTCTCCTCGTCAATATTCTAACGGTGAAAGTTATGGTGAAATTATTATAATTGGAATGAACTTAATCATTAAAGCAGAAGACACCATTAAGAATTCAAGTGGACAAAATAAAGTTCTTATCAAATGAGAAAACAAATCACAGATATATAATAATAATAATAATAATAATAATGGGTCCATACTAACCAAGGTTGTCAACCCGCGGGTTGACCCGCGGGTCGACCCACTTTGACTCTGACCCGATGAGAAAACGGGCCGCACGCACCCGCCGGGCCGACCGCTACAAGGCACCGGGTTGGAGGTTAAATTGTGTCATTTTTTTCTTTGGTTTGCGAAATGCGCCTATTTTTCGATTTTTCTTTTCGCCTAGCTCAATTTTTGGAATGCTAAGTTGAACATTTAAATATTTATGTTATATAAGTGTGTGTGAATTTTCACTATATGTTGGATCTATATACGATATGTTATTTTGGTGTAATATTATATGTTATAACTCATATGTTATATAAGATTTGATATAATTTATGAGGATAAGTACAATATAATGACTTTTTCATATTTCCGGGCCAAACCGGGCTAAAACGGTTGACCCATTAACCCTTGACCCACTAGCTCGACCGGGTCCGGGTCAACCCGCAGGTTGACAACCTTGATACTAACTGAATTATGCTACTCGTGGGAGGGGTTACAGATGCGAACATATGAATTTAGCATCCCAAGGGATTTCTAAATAGAAGAAGATAGAATATTTATTGAATAAAAATAGATTTGGACCCGTCCGTTGATCGGATGAATTTTGTTAATTGTAAAGATAAACAGAGTAATTGTAAGAAAAGGCATATCTAATTTCATATCATAAAAAAAATTCAAATCATTAAGTTTTGAAAATATTGTAGTGATATAATTTTCAACATGCTAATCCGCTTTATTGACTAAAGTAATTACTGAAAGTAAAAATAAAAGTCATCCAAAGAAATCGACTCCTATAAATTTAATCAGACAACACTATTTGCTCATCATTGTCAAGAATGATTTCAAATTTTATTTTGGATTTCTTGTGATTGCTTTGCCTCTGCCCTCTAAAGCACCGTCATTTCCACCAATTATAATGTCTTTGTCTTCCTTAACGAAACCTGTAGTTTCACAATAGGTTGTTCCTACTCTTTTTTATCAGAAGTCAATCTTTAACTGTAAATGTTCAAAACACTAAACATTACATGTAGTAGAATTTACGTCTCATGAACATTTTATGAGATTTCTTTTTTCCCCAATGCAAGCAACCCAACGACCAACAGGAATATTTGATAATTTATAGATTGAAAACTTAATGAATAATTTGTAGGCGCTGTCTATTCTCCAATAAATACATTTCTTTTTTCTTATATATCTGCATAATTTATTTACCAATTCGTAAAAATGGATTAGGAAAGTTTAGTGGTCGACAATGAAATAATTAAACCTGCCATGAATACCATTTTCTATCTGTGATGGTTTTATTTGTGATTTGTAAATCACGAATTATGTGGAAAGTGTCGTGATCATTCTAAGTTGACTTTAGGAAGATTGGAAGCCTAGTCAAAGTCCAATAAGCAAGGTGAGACTCACTTTCATAATAATATAACGAAAAATTGATGCTGGGGAATACGATTAGGAATTGCCGCATAGATCGGGTACCATTATAGAAGAATTGATAGTCCATGAATGCTATTATATATGATGTTCTATGATGCTAGACTAACATACTTGTCTATCCTCCCACCCATTGACCGAATGAATTAATTCGATGATATAAATAATAATAGTAATTGGTCGAACCAAGTTACGTTTTTTTTACCATAAAAAATTCAAATAATTAAATTATTAGAAATATCAGAAAACAAAAAGTTTTATCAGTTATGACATTTTGATCATTCATGAACAAAAAGTCTTTATCAAAAGTAAAAAGCACAACTCATGTAAGAAAATTGACTCCTAAAAAATTAGTATTCAAAATGAACTTCAATTTACTCTTTATTGTTAGAAGTTACTGTAATTTTTCTTTTGAATTTTTCTTTTTTGCGATTGCTCCGCCATAAAACACATCAACACGCCTTCATCTTCATTAATGAAATATTTATATTCTCCTTCAACAGTCTCTTCCTTCTTCACTCATACATTTCATTGGAAACCAAATTTCAAAACTAAAATATTTGGAAATATGAAACATCATTTTCGCGTTAATAGAAGTTACTTCATCCAAGTTATAAATTTTATTAGCTATTCGCTCTTTCCTCCCATCATTAAAGTTTTCATATCCACCATAAAAAATCTCTTCCTTTATCTCAATAATGTCATTACCTCCATCACCAAAGTCACTACCTCCACCATTATCATAATCATCCTTATTATCATAATCTTCCAGAAATACTGGCCACTAATAGGGAAGAATCTAGCGCTCATGGCGAATAAATTCTTTGAGACGGGAGAGATTCCGGAAGAAGTTATGGAATCAACTGTAATTCTCATCCCTAAGGTGGATCATCCGGAGAATCCAACACAGTTTCGTCCAATTAGCCTCAATAATGTGGCGCTCAAGGCCATTACCAAGGCCATTGCCAACAGATTGAAGCCTTTTGATGCCCAAACTGATCTGTCCAACGCAAAGTGGCTTTGTTAGGGGGAGGCAAACAAACGACAACATACTTCTTCTTCAGGAAGCGTTGCACTCGCTCCGCGGTCGAAAAGGAAAAAGAGGAGGGCTGATTATCAAAATTGACTTGGAGAAAGCATATGATAGGCTTCACTGGAGTTTTCTACGAGACACACTCAAAGAGATACAGCTACCGAGCTCGTGGATTGACAGGATCATGAGTTGTGTTGAGAGGAACAATATGAAAATCAATTGGAACGGGAGGCTCACTTCAGCAATCAAGCCAACCAGAGGAGTGCGACAGGGAGATCCTCTATCTTCCTTCCTATTTGTTTTATGTATGGAAAGATTGGCTCATCGTATTGAACAAGCAGTAGATGAGAGGCTTTGGAAATCGGTCTCCCTAACCAAAGAAGGGCCAAAGCTCTCTCATCTATTTTTCGCTGACGACTTGATTCTTTTTGCAGAGGCGGAAGGAAATCAAATTGATGTTATTCGTAGCTGCCTGGAGGACTTCTGTGCAAGCTCGGGGCAGAGGGTCAACTTCAGCAAATCGGCCATGTTTGTATCACCCAACATTCATCGTGACAAGGCAGAAAGACTCAACCTCCGAGCGGGCATCCGACTCACATCCGATCTTGGCAAATACTTGGGACTTAACGTGATCAATGGGAGGATCAGCAAAAACAGATACAAGGAGCTGCTGCTGAGGGTTCAGCTAAGGCTTGCTAACTGGAAAATAGGATATCTATCGATGGCGGCTAGGGTCACTTTGGTTAAATCAATCTCTTCATCTATGTCTATTTATCCTATGTTTATGGAGCTGCTACCTTCATCTGTTTGTGATGCTTTGGACAGGTGCAATAGACAATTTGTATGGGGAGACAAAGATGGTAAAGCCAAATCTCACTCGATTGCGTGGGAGCATCTTACTTTACCATGCAATCAGGGGGGGCTCGGCATCCGTTCCACAAGGCTCACAAACCAAGCAATGTTGGCTAAAGGGCTTGGAAGTTAGCC